TTTTTCCTTGGGTTTAAGGTGGGAACTGAAATTTCCATTCTTTTTCCTGAATTTCAATCCCCAAGGATTAAATTTCATGCCAACCATCAAAGGAATTTACTGATTCTTTTTTCCATTTCCTTTTCCTGGAACTTATTTACAGTGAACCAAACAAGCCCTAAAGTAAAAAAAGGAGTTGAAGTCTCTTTCCTCCTGATTCCCCTCTGACCTTGATACCAGCATTTATGTTCAATAATGTCAACCACAGAAAAGTGATCACTGAAAGGGAACCTGCAATCTACTCTTTCTGACTTTGGAAAAACCATTTTCTAGCAGGAACCTTCTCTAGAAAGCCCAAACTAACTCAGCCATGTGCTCTTTGAAAGTGTAGCTTAAAACTAGAACCATTGCTATCCTATCCTCATTCACAGGAACAACAATTGGGATCTTTCTACTTGAAATAAAAGCATTTAAGATATGGAATGTGTATAAATTCAGGGTTAAGAATCCTTTGAATATTTTATTAGATGAAAGCAGCATTCCATTTGTAGATGATAAAAGAGAGATTCAAGCTCTCAAGTAACTTAGTGATAAAGTCTATCAAACAAAATATTTAAAATACTGTTATCTTAATCAAAATGGAATTGCTCTGTCCATGTTGAAATCAAACGCTAAAAATCCTAGTATAACGATGTTGTCCAAAAATAACTAAAAAAAAAATCATCCTTAATAAATAAAAACACCCAAAATAAACCTAATCAAAACGAACTATAATTTCCAACAGAATGCATATGTCATTATCAATTGCCATTTGATTCTTTTTCTTAATATTTTGAAGTTTTGTTTGCTGGCATGAAGTGTTACTGATCTGTGTGGTTTGTATAGGAGTTCATCATCGTTAGGTTGTTTCTGGATCCTGCTTTCATGTCCATAATAAAAGATCCTGATCAGAGACGTCAGGAGCAATGGGAGAAGACTGCTGAAGCAAAAGAGGCTGGAATTTAGCCAAAATGCTTGGATTTGGTGCACTTGTGTTGTGCCTCCATTATATGCTGCTGAAGAATATCTCTTCACTCTAGATACCTTGCTAAAGCGAATTCTCTAAGTCTCTCTGAAATTGCAGATATGAAAATTGTGTAAGTATCTGTAATTTAATCAAGTTTTGCAGGCATTGTCAGTTCATATATGACTTCCAATCTCCTATATCTACTTCATTGTTAGGATTGGTGAGTCATACTAGTTGGTGGTCTTTGTATTTTCCTGGTGGATAACGGTCTGCCATCTTTACAAGAGAAAATGTACAGTTCTGGAGTATTCATATATTTTTTCAACCTTTTATGGCTTCTTCATCAACTACTTAAGAGCTTTTTTTTTTGGGGGGGGGTTTTGGGGGCTCTTTTGGAAATTGAATTGCAAAATGATGATGCAGGATAATATGTGATTCTTCATATAATAATGTTTTTATGCTCTTTAAAATTTCCGATAAGCTTATGTATTCAAGTTTTTAACCAATCAATGTCAAGGGCTTTTGCGATTGTTCAGATTAATCTGTGCATGTAATGATCAATGTAATATTATTTTTCAGTTATCGTGGTGGAGTAGACAATGAAGGTCGTCCTGTTATGGTTATTGTGGGGGCACACTTTTTGCTCAGATGTCTTGATCTGGAGCGATTGTGTCTCTATGTGGTAAAGGTAATATGATTATAATCTACTCCAGGCATATATTTAGGTAATTAGGTTGAGCATACATTTGTGATTATGAATTTTATTTCCTGGATGTTGGCAATGCATGCTGTGGAAATTTATTGTTAAAACGCAGAGATATTGAACGAGAAACCTTAATCATTTGTAAACTTGTACACTTCGGCAGTCATCTCCCCTTATACACTTGTAGTATGTAACACATCCTATAATAATGATAAGTCTTGTACCCATACTACTCTTTTTGATCTGATTTCTGTCAATAAATTTTAAACTTTCTTGTTTCCTGTTTGCTTTTCAAATGTAATAATCATTTTGGCATTAAATTTCAGGAGTTTCGAGCCTTTAATACAGAAGCCTTATACTATTGTTTACTTCCACTCTGCTGCATCTCTGCAGATGTAAGTTTTATATCATAAATTGTGCAAAGTACATATTATCAATTTCTTTTGTACAAATAGCGGTTCCTGATATTGTAAGGGCTGTTCATCTTGAAAAGTTTGTCAGTACAGGTAGAGGAAATGGACCAACTATACACCTTTGCATGCCAACTAGCTGTTATTTGTTTGAATTGTGACTTTTTAGGATATGTCAGAAACAATTGGTAGCCAAAATTAAGTAATTAACTGTTCCCCATTTGGTATAAAAAGAGGAATTGGAAATTCAGCCATTAAGATACAATAAATATGGTTTAACAAATATGCATGCTTTGTATAAACCTGCAATAGTATTTCAGTTACCAAACATCTTGCATCATATGCATAATAATTTGTGTGATTGCTGGAAAAAATTTACTCAACTGTTGGCCTTGTCCATGTTTTGCATCTTGAATTTCACTTAATCATACGTGCCTTTTTTTTTCCCCCCATAATCATACGTGCCTTTTGTTGAGAGTGGTTGTGCAGTATTTTAAGCCTATTAACATCATTGCTGAAAACATAGCCCCATGTTAAAATCAGGCAATACTTGCTATCCACCAAAAAAAAAAAAAAAAGGCAATACTGGATATATTGCTTCTTAATTATGTTCTCCTTTGGTGAAGATGGTTTTGCTTGTAAGGTTAAATGCATTGATGCATTGTTATTTTGAGGCCAGATCTGCCTCTTAAAGTGGCAAACCAATACAACAAGCAGTCTTATCCTACTAGATGGGGTCGGTTATGTGAATTGTATGACGCTATTGTATTTATATCATTTATCAAGCTTTTAGAAATATTGTTAATTAAGAGGTTACGATCAACAATTTTCAGAAGTGTTCTCTTTGATCTTTCTCTACCTTCTTGACAGGGTTTAAAGTTATCTATTCCACTTTCCTCACAATTGCCTCTCGTAATCTTCTTTGTACATGTCTAAACCATTTCAAACGATTTTTTACCATTTTTCTTTCAATAGGTGCGACGCCCAATTTTTTTCGTATGCACTCATTTTAAATTTTATCTTTATGTGTATGCCCGCACATTTATCGCAACATTTTCATTTCTGCTGCTCTAACTTTATGCTCTTGCTATCATGGTAAAGCCTAACATTCACTACTATATAATATTGCTGATCTAATAGCAGTTTGATAAAATTTCCCTTTAAATTTATTAGGTACCTTACAATCGTAAATAACTTTTTTAGTCTTTCTCCAATTTAATCACCTAGCTTGTATCTTTTGTGCAATATTTTCATCAATTTTCCCATTATATTGAATAATAGTTCTCAAATATCTAAACTTTTTCACTTGAGAGGTATAATTTAATCTCCCAATTTGACTTCCAAATTACTACTCATTGACTTTTTATTAAAATTATGATGTAAATATTTCCTCTTACTCTTACTCAGGTGAAAACTTTTTAACTCCAATGTCTTTTTCCATAACTCTAGTTTATAATTAATCTCCTTTCTTGTCTCCACAATAAGGGCTAGATCATTTGCAAAAAGCATGTTGGGGATTTTCTTTTGACTATGCTCAATCAAAACATTTAGGATCAGGTCAAATAAATAAGGATTCAAAGATAATCCCTGATGCAATTCAATCTTTATAGAAAAGTCTTTTGTTTCGCTACTGGATGTTTTATATTAGTTGTTGCTCCCTCATACATATTTTGTTGTTGATAATCCCAGATGCAACCCGGATATTTCTTTTTCAATTCTTTTCAAAGTACTTCTCGTGGTACACGATCATAAGTTTTTCCCAACTCAATGAAAACTATATATAAATCTTTACCTTTTCATCGGTACTTTTCCATTAATTCCCTTAATAGATAAATCGCTTCTGTAGTCGCTCTGCTTGGCATGAAGCCAAATTGATTTTCAAAAATACCAATTTCTCATCTCAACTTATTCTCAATCACTTGTTCCCACAATTTCATTATATGACTCATAGGTTTAATCCTTATGTAATTAGTGCAATTCTAAATATCTTCTTTATTTTTGTAAATAGGATCTAAGGTGCTTCTCCTCCAATTGTCAGGCATTTTTTAGATTCTAAGATCTCATTAAGTAACTTAGTTAACCATTATACCCCTTCTTTATCTAAACATTTTCACACTTTAATAAGGATACAATCAGGCCCATCAACTCTACCATTTTCCATTTTCTTAAGAGTTTCTTTTACCTCACAATTGTGTTTCCTTCAATAGAATAACAAATTTTGTTCTCTTTCAGGAGTTGCTAAATCCTTCAAATTATTATATAAACCCTATCCATCATTGAAAAATTTAGAAAATTATGTCTCTCATCTGTATTTAATATCACCATCTATGACTAAAACATTTCCCTCTTCATCGTTTATACACTTTACTTGTCCTAAATCTTTTGATTTTCTTTCCTTACTCATGGCAATCTTATAAATTTTTCTTTTTCCATCCTTTGTTCCAAGATCATTACAAAACTCTTCAAATGCTTTAGAACGAGCTTCACTCACCACCGTCTTAGTTTCCTTTTTAGTCATATGATATCTTTCTCGATTTTCATCATTATTGCACAAATAGATGGCTTTCAAACACTCCTTCTTATATTTGGTTTTTCTATACACTATTATTCTACCATCAAAATTCCTTATCTCTCAGACCAAAACTTTTTGATTTTTCCAAAACTTCTTTTGCAACCTTCCTTACCTTCTTAGCCATATCCTCCCATAAAATGCTAGCACTTCCTCGAGACTTCCAAATTCCTTCAGCCAAAAGATTACACTTGAAAATTTCTCGCTTCTCACCTTTTAAATGTCACCATATAATCCTTGGAGTTACCACTTGTCAACACTTTTGGTTTTTATTCATAATACGCACATTAAGGACAAGAACCTTGTATTGTGTCGTTACAGCATTATCAAGAGTCACCTTACAATTTTTACAAAGCCTTCTATCTGTGTTCCTAACTTAAAAAAAAAAAAATCAATTGATCTTAAAGCTCTACTTTTATAAGTGATGAGATGTCCATCCCTCTTCTTGAAATGAGTGCTCACAATATTTGAAATCATGCACCAAAGATAAATCAAGAATAGATTGTCTTTCATTGTTTAGCTTCCCAAAACCAATTACCATGCACTCTCGCATAATGACTTGCTTCCCTCCCGACATGACTATTAAAGTACCCTCCAATAAAGATCTGTTCATTTTGTGGTATGGGTTGAATCAACCCCTTCAAGTCTTCTCAAAATAGTTCCTTAAGATTGGCTTCTACCTCAGCTTGAGGTGCATAAGCACTAATAATATTGACAGTCTCACGTTCAACAATCATTTTTAAGAAAATAAATCTGTCTCCAATTGTATTAACCTCTACCACGTTCTTCTTCCACTCTTTATCAACAATGATACTCACCCCATTACGTGTGCTTACTTTTCCAGTATACTGAAGTTTGAAACTTTAAATACCTTTAGCTTGTTCACCAGGCCATTTAGTTTCCTGCAGATGCAAGATATTAATTTTTCTTTGAATTATAGCTCCTACCACCTTCCATAGATTTACAATTCAAGGTCCCAACATTCCAAGTGCTAAATCTAATCTTATTCATATGGACTAACTTCTTTAGCCGTGCTCATCCAAAATAACACAGTAGCCCTTGCTCATTTAACACTACATCTGGACGTCGATGTAATGGCTCTAACATACTTATCACTGTACTCGAGCCATGCAGCACGTTACTTATAAGCAACAACCTAGCATTAGCACAAAAACGTCTATTGTCCATATCTATAAGAGATTCAACAAAGTTTTACATTGGTTGTTAAGGGCCGAAAACAACCCTCCTCCTTTACTCAGGTTTGGGATCGGCTATATAATGTAGACAGAGTTAAAGTGGTAAACCAATAAATAAATAAATATGGAGAAGATGTACAGGAAGAGAAGCATGTTTTGAAGGTTGGTGAAGAATATTTTGCATAAGTTTGTTGTTTCATGATGTCTGTTCATATGTAATTCCTGACATTGGTTGCTCTAGATTTTTTTTTTATTCTTTTGACTTTGGTTTGATCATAAAATTAAGATATTCACTTCTCTCCACCCTACTATTGGAATAAATAGGCAGCCAGACTTTGGTTGGATGAAAAGATTACAACAGATACTTGGTCAGAAGCACCGGCGGAACCTGCATGTATGCACTTTACAGATAATGCTGTTGCATGACACCTTCAGGGTCTTTGTTCTGATCTTGCAGTTTGATATGTGTAGGCAATATATGTTCTTCACCCAACTTTTGGGCTAAAAGCAGCAATACTCACACTTCAGTGGTTTGTAGACAACGTGGTATGTTAGAATTGGATTCTATTCGTGGAAGTTAATCCTATTTGAGCAGCACACATTTATGCTTATTATTTGCAATATACTTTTAGGTTTGGAACAAAGTGGTATATGCTGATCGGCTTCTGCAACTCTTCAGATATGTGCCTCGTGAGCAGTTGACCATCCCAGATTTTGTTTTTCAGTTGAGTTTCTGTTTCATTCTTAGCCATGAACATTTGTTCTCATAATGTACCTGCACGGCTGCACGGTCTTGCTTTCAATTTAAGACTTCTCAAAGTACTAGGGTTTTGAGCATTTGTTTGCATATAGGTGTGCCTTTCCATTTGTTTAGTAAAGGGGTGTCCTTGCTGGTGGATGAGAGGGTAGCTGATATAGGAAATCCTTCCCTTCCTTGTTCATACTACTAATTGACCTCCCAACTCCTACTCCTTCCGATCTTTTATATATAAGTCACATTTTAGAAATAATTAATGGTCCTTTTTATAAGTAATTATGAATAAAAAGATGGTTCATTAATTACTTTTATTCCAATTTTACCCTTTCGCAATTTTCTGAGTAGAGTAAAATATTACATATGAGGGAGAAAGTTTTTAAAATATGCTGCATTTAACCAGGATAAACTGGGAATTTTTTTTTCCTTTTCAAACAACATTAATAATTTAATTACTTCTCTTTAATTCCATTGACGTTAAAAGTGACTTGTATGTAGGATCAAAGGGAGTATTTCTTTGTAAATATTAGTGTTGTGAAGGGGGAATTCCAATTTCCTTAGTAAATATTAGCATTGTCAAATACTCCAGTACGTTGTTGTATTTATTTTCTCTTCTATGAAATGTTTATCCTTGCTCACCCTGACCGTTTTTCAATAAAAACACTTGTTAGAAAATAAATGGACGCGTGGAAGTTCTAATCTGTCATGTTGTTGGTTGAACCGATCAATAGTGCTCCAGCAATGCAGTTCTCTGACTTGTTCTGTTGATGCAGGCATGACTTAGAAGTCAATGGAGGAAAGGGTGTTCGTGTGGATCACAGAACAAAATATGTATATTAATCAAAGGTCCTTGAGCTTCATATGCAATTCCACCACCTGTTGATACAAGAGGATCACTGGCTTTAGTTTCTCCATCAACATTTTTCATTGGTTAGTGGATTAGGGTCTCTCTGTTTGAAATGTAACGTGTCAGAATCTTGCTTTTCTCACTTCTATTTATTTTTTAGGCTTTTGATCTATTAAGCATTGATTTGTTTCTCTTTATAGGTGAAATAAAATTATTTTCTCTTGTCATCTCCTTATTGAGTTTTCAACAAAATTTAATGTCGTTTTGGTTACTGTTGAATCCAGACGGTTGTCGATGTAAAGTGGCTTGTAGATTTGTAGATGGAACATTTGGATTACTTACATTGAATGTTTGTTTTGTGCTCCCATAGTTTTCTCTTTAATTTCTTGAATATCATTGGTTTTTTGTGTATGTAAATTTGTGTACTGTATATTTATGGATGAATTAAATTTTTTAATTCATCAAAAACTAAAATCAACGGCAATCAGCAAATCACAATGCTATGATCGATATAAAAATTGTTAGAAAGATGAAATTGTGCAAAATTATGATGTGAAATTGGGGTTTGTTAATCTTGCGTTCCATTTAGTTATTCATTTTAAAGTGTAATTTATGGGTAGATTCATTTTATACACCAAAACTACTCATTTATATGTAATAATATCAATGTATTTTTAGGTGCAGTCACTTTTCTTATTGCTGCTTAAATTGGGAACTTTGAGAATTTCGAATTTCATTGACCACTGTTATATTTTAAGATAACATATTCCAATCATTTGGATTATCCTAAAGTAGCAGACAACTATTAAACCATTGTTTCGTGGACAGGGGTTGGACTGTCTCGATTTGGATATGAAAATTTGTTTTGATTGTTGAATCAAGTTGGATCAAAGTTAAGCTGTCAGTGGGTGTGGATGTGGCACAGATGGTAATAGTTTAGATTCCTTAAACATTATTTTAGAGTTTGATTCTTAAAGATGTATATGGAAAATATTACTTGAGAGAAAGGATAACTCTTTAAATAGCGTTCAGATTTTTGAGAGATTAGTCTTACAGTTGCTAGCTGTGGAGATACCTTAGGCCAAAAAAAAAAAAAGAACTTAAACTGTCAATGAAGAAAATTGAACGTGAATAAAAAACTGGACTAGTTTTCAGGGGAGGGGGAAAAGAAGGGTCTAAACTTAAAAAGGCAGTACTTCTAATAAAATTGCTTAAAATAGGAGAACACTCATAAGTTATTAAAAAAAGGCAAAAAAATTTTAAAAACCAGAAAAAAAATGAAAGATTAGACGCTATTGAGAGTCAACTTTATTTTTAAACTCTTTCTATATACTCCTTCCATTAAAAAATATAAAGCATTTTTTGAGTATTTGGATGTTAAAAAATACAAAATATTTTTAGTGTTTTAAAATATAATCATTGTATTTTTTTTCAAAAGTGCCTATAATAAATAAATCTTTTATATTTACTTTAAAAATGAAACACCCTTATTTAAATGGTGTTAATTTGAAGAAATTAATTATTTTATTAGGATGAGATTAAATTAAAAATATTTTATATTTTTAAATGGAAGAAGTATATAATGTCATTAGGGAATTTATTTTTTAGGAAGATATTGACAATAACAGATATAAGTACAAATATAAATACTTTTGAATCTAGTTATACTTGATTTAACCAACATCTACCTATATTTATGAAGTTATGAAATTATAATTTATAATATTGTTCATTTAGAGTTACACTGTGTTATTTTCAATATTCATCTTCTACATTTTTAATAGTTATTTTTAGTACTTAGTTTTATATCTTCTTTTTTTTCAATTGTCACTTTATATGTTTTCAATACTTATCTCTCATGGCTTTAATAGAGAAAAATACTTATTTATGATATAAAAATAATAACCATAAAATAAATTATTTTAAAAATATTTTAGTAAAATTAAAATCAAATTATGAAAATTAATAAGTTCTATTTATTTAAGAACGGCTAGAAAATTCATCAGACATATGTATGAGAACTAAATCTTGAATTTTTTTTATAAGTACAATATTTTCAATATCATAAAATAAATATTGGGAAAATTAGTAACTCAATATGTGAACTTTGATTTGATGCAACCAATGGCAATTTTTATGGTTATAACTATTTAAAATATTAGTCTCTATTTTTATAAATAAGTAAAAGATTTAAATTATTTTAATCTTTATTATTTTTAAAAATATTAAAAATTTTAGTAATTTGAAATATTAATCCCTAAAATTTAAGATAATTTTAATTTTTATAATTTTATTTTTTAAAATAAATGAATTAATATTTTAAATGGTTGAAATACAAGAAGTTAAAAGTATAATACAAGTATTAAAATTATTTACACCAAACCAAATGATTAATTTTTCATATTTATAACTTAAACATAAAATTATTTGTTTCAAAACACCTAAAGAATAAACATGCAATAGTGTCATAAAATTATATTTATTTCAATATTTGCAAAATCAACATCTTCCCGTTCTTTTTTTGATAACAAAATATCTACCCGTTCTTTCTCTTTATTTCCCAATTTTTCGAAACTAAATCAGAGAAAAATCCGACTTTTGGACAGTAAATTTGGCAAAGAGCTTGTGTTCTGGAATTCTGTGGTCATCTTTTGATTATATTGCGAGCGAATTGGGTTGCACTGACGGAGCAGTGCGAGTGGAAAAGATGTTCAACAATTCTGTGAGGCCAAAATCTCTTTTTCGAAATCCTCTATCTCTTGATGTAGTATTCACCTGACCTTGTTTCTTTTCTATTATTGATTATTGATAATGCGTTTTTGTTTCCTGGGAAAATTAAAAAACTTTTTAGTCCAAGTGGTTAGTCTGCAAATTTAGCCGTTGTCTCCGGCGAGCAAGAACCCCAACGCGGCCACTGTGTTGTTGCTATCGAAGCCTATCTGTTTTTTGCTTTTTTGTTTTTGTAAATTAAGACATGAGACCTACATCTTCTACTTTCATTTGTATCCTTAGATTCCTAATTTAATCAGAAGATATGATAAAGCTCTGAATTTGAGAGATATTTAGCTAATTTTTGGGGTAAGCTTTATTTATATATCTATTTTTTTCCCCAGCTGATCATGCAAACGATGGTTTTGAAACTTCATAATCTATAACACAAGCTTTATTGGAAACATTGATAGGCATGTATTGACATTAATGAAGGCTTTCGGTGTAGTTGCTGATGCACAGATTGCTGTAAGAGTAATAATTGGATTCTGTTTTCCATTTTCTGGGCGAGAAACTATCACTTGGCTCTAAAATATGGTGGAAGGTGTGGCACTTAGCACTCTGGCAACATGTGGAAAGAGCAGACCTTGTGGATCATTTGCACCTTGGGGGGCACGTTTAAAGCCATTTAAGAAATCCCAAACAACCTATATCTATGACCGACACTGGGTCTGGAATCAAAGTGTGCAGATGTTGTTCTTAGATCCCTATGCATCAAGGCCTAGTGATTTTAAGGTGGAAGCAGGATGGATGTTTAGAGGTGGGGAGCGAGATTCAGATGCAAGTGTAGAGCGCAGTGAAAGTGCTAATGAAAATATTTTGATCTTCTTTTTCCAACTTGACTTGGCCACTCGAGTACAGGTTTGGCCAGATTTAGTTTTTACTCTTTTACAAAATGCTTGATAGTATTATCTTCTGCTTTGGCAAATTTGTACCGAAACCTCATTCCTTATTTTCTTGAACTTATGAGTGGCAGTATGCTTTAAATATGGAGCAATATGACATTGCACAGGATCTGAGGAACAAGCTTACAGAGGTTAGACTGCTCAACTGCTAACCGTTTTTGCATCACACCCTCGTCTCTGTGAGTTGAACTGTTTTCAAGTTGTTGAAATGGAAATTTTGTTGTCGAGGTTTCTGACAACAATTTTTTTTTCTTGTGTAAATGTACATCTTCATGTGATCTAAATTTAGTGTAAACAACTTTGGACTTGTATGTGTTGCTATATATAAGTCTTCAGGTTATTTAAATTTTCTTCAAGTGAAGCACTAAACAGCCTGCAGCTTACTTGATAAATATTATTTTTGGAAGGTTGAGGCAGAAATTGTTAAGCGGCAAGATGCTAAAAGGGGATTGTCTTCAAAAAGTGAAGCTCAAGATGCAGCTCTGCGGATAATATCTCTTCGGTGAGTATATCACATCTTGTTGACCTTCTAACTACATGGTCTCCATGATTAATTAGCTTCTTTAATTAATGTAATGTGCAACTGTGCAAATTTCTAGATCAATGATATTGATATGTTTCCTTCCAGGTCAGATCTCCAAGACGCAATCAAGAGTGAAGATTATGCCTTGGCTGCTGAATTACGTGATAAAATTTCAAAACTTGAAGCACAGACTCTGGAGGCATCAGCTAAAGCTTTAGTATATGAAAATGTGCAATATGCATTTCGTTTGGGGCAGAAAGTGAAGCATAGAATATTTGGTATATAGTTGTCACATGTCCCTTTGTGTATGATTGATTTCATCGGGTGCATTTTAAATCTGCAGTAGAGCATTGTGTTTTTAAGCTATGTCAGCATTTTTTTTTTTATGGCTGTACTCTGAATAGTTTAAATAGCATAACTGCGGAAGTGATGATTATGTTGAGAATTTGATATTTTGAGATTGCAAAAAGTGTTTAAGCACTTGGGAATCATCTTGTAAATTTTAATTATCAAAACCGCCTAGATCAGTTGGGCACCCCCGTAAACATGTAGCCACAGCATCTATCAGTTTGATTCTCTTTTCCCCTTTCAACTATTTAATTTCTCAATATATTTTTCAGGCTATCGAGCTGTGGTATGTGGAATGGATCCAGTATGCTGTGAATCAAGTTCATGGATGGAAACTGCTCAGATTAAGAAATTGTCTCGGGGTTCTAGTCAGCCATTTTATCAGGTTTGATTTATTGTATCAGTTGAATTGCAACAGATACTTCTATTTCTATTAGGATCAATTTAATTTTTATCCTTTGGTTGTGACCTTTATAAGCTGTTGATTCTTCTTGTATTTTCATCATTTCTTTATTCTCATTTGTTAGTGAACCTGCCTAAATAAGCAGTCAACAAAAGTATGAAGCACCAAACTTGTCGTCTAACAACTCCATATAATACATACGACGCCATAATGTGAAAGATGGCATTGTAAAAGAATTCAGAGTCAGTTGTAACATATATAGATGTTTATCAACTTCTTGATGGTTTCATTTACCATTTGGTGGAATGAAAGTGTGCTTCTTTAAATTGTTTATATGCTTATTAAGCAGATTTTATATATATATATATATATATAATCCTTTAAATGGATCAATAGAAGAATGGATAGAGGGTTTTAAATC